GCCTTCTAACTCTTTGGGGAAATGAGGTGCTTCATATATTTTAAAGTACTCCCTCTTTACCTCTACCTTCACCATTTCCTTTATCTGAAAAATGAAACCTTTCCTAATATGTTTATATGTGGGCATCCTTTTGCCCTCATATAATATTAGCCCCTTGAGGGCAGAGACAATTTGGTTTTTCTCTTTGCAACCCCAGTGCCTGGCATATTACTAGGTGCTTTATAAACTCATGTGATTAATTTGATAGTCTGGGATTCTAGGCCTTCCACATGTGTCTGTTAGTTTCGCAGTTTGATCTCTTAAGACTATTTCACATACTCTACATTCTAGCCAGATGCAATCATAGAAAGTCAGAATCAGAAGTACCTTTAGAGGTCATTGAGTCCAGCTAGCACACCTGAATATAAATACTCTCTTCAACATCCCTGATGAGTGGTCTTACAGCCTTTGCTGTGAAGAGCCCCTGTGGGGGGAGGAGAGGAACCCACCACTTCCCCAGGTCTGATTGGTCAAAGGTTTTCCTTACATCAAGCCTATATTTGTCTTTTGGCAATATTCTCCTCTTACTCCTGGTTATGTCCTTTGGGGCTAAGACAAACAAGTCTAATTTCTCTTTTCAAATGAGCCAGTGTGAAAAAGGAATTTTTCAAACTATTGTAACTACCTTACAGGATTGTTGTGGGATTTAAATGTAAAAAAGCCCGTTGCAAACTTAAAAACTATATAAATGCCAATCATTGTTATTATGATTCTGAATGATATCTCTTCAAATGCTTGAAAAAAGCTATTCTATCCTGCCCTAAGTCTTTTCTTTTCCAGGCTAGATCCCTACAGTTCCTTCAGATGGTTCTCAAATGACATGCACCTGAGGTCCTTCTTCAGTCTGGTTGCTTCAGATAAACTGGATGGGCTCCAATTTATCAATATCTTTCCTAAAATATGGTCCAGAGCCAAACATAATTCTCTTGATGTGGCCTGACAAGGTCAGAGTGCAGTGGTATTCTCTCTTCCCTAATCCTGGATGCTGCGCCTCTCTTAATGCATCCAAAAATTGCGTTAGCTTTCTTGGTTGCCATACCAAATTGCTGACTCATGCAGAGCTTACAGTCCACTAAAACATCCAGATATTTTTCAGACAAACTCCTATCTAGCCATACCTCCCTCATCTTATACTTGTGAAATTGATTTGAATGCAAGTGTAAATTTAATTTTATTAAAATCTAGCCCAGTGTTCTAGCTTTGGGTCATCTGCAAATGTGATAAACATGTTGTTTTTACTTTATCCAAGTCCTTAATAAAAATGGTAAAAATAAAACAAAACAGGGCCAAGTACAGATTCCTAGGGTTTTCCACTGGAGACTACTTTCCAAGCAACATCAAATGATTAGATGATTCTGTCCCTGCTTCCTCTTACTTCTCAACCTCTTATAATCTTGGCTTTCAACCTCATCACTCCTCTTTCAAAAGTTACTAGTGAATAGGGCAGCCAGGTGGTGCAGTTGATAGACCACTGGCCCTGGAGTCAGGAGGACCCCAGTCCAATTCTGGCTCTTGATGCTTACTAGCTGTGTCACTTGATCTCAATTGCCTTGAAAAAAAAAAAGAATCATTAAAAAAAAGTTACTAGTGAACTCTTAACTGCCAAATGCAGTGGCCTTTTTTTTTTTTCGGTTTTCATGACTTTTTGGTCTCTCTGCAACATTTGACGCTGTTAATCACCCTCTGTTCCTTTCTATGTTTTCATGGTACTGTTCTCTCTTGGTTCTCCTGCCTATCTAACTTTTCCTTCCATCTTCTTTGCTATATCCACTTCCATATACCACCTCCAACTTTGAATGTAACCCAAACCTCTTGTCCTCTCTTTTTTCTCTGTAGCCTTTCTCATGTGACATCAGCTCCTGTGGTTCAATTATCATCTCCATGTATGTATATGCTGCCCTTCCCCCCCCAGTCCTCAACTATTTATCCTCAAACCCTGTCTCTCAGCCCTGAGCTCTAATCCCATAGCACCAATTACCTATTGGGCTTAACCAGTTCTGTGTCCAGCAGATATCTTAAACTCAGTCTCTTCAAAACTTTTTTACCTTTTCAGCAAAACTCACTCTTCTTCCTAACTTTCCTATTTCTACTGGAGGCATCATCATCCTTCTAGTGTACTCAGATTCCCAACCCAGTGTCATACTCATTCCATCACCACCACTCCCCCCATAGCCCATCAGTTGCCAAGTGTTGTCTATCTTATTTTTACATCTCACACCAATCCCTTTCTCTCCATTCACATAACCACCACCCTAGTTCAGACTGTCATTAGTTCTTGCCTAGATTATTGCAATAATTAGTTTCTACTTCTCTTCTCTCCTATTTCTAATCGATCTTCCAAATGGTCACCAAATCACTGTTTCTAAAACATAGGTCTGACGATGTCACTCCCTCTTTTAAGAAGAGCCAGAGGTCTCCCTATTACCTCTAAGATCAAATACAAATTCTTCTGTTTGGTATTTAAAGACTTTCACAATCTAGATTTGACTTACCTTCCTGAGCTTAGTAAACATTACTCCCATTCACAAATTCTCCATTCCATCAAAACTGATTGATTTTCGGTTCCCCTTATATAACATTCTATCTCCTATCTCCATGTCTTTGCCCAGGCTGTGCCCCGATACTTGGAATGCACTCCTTCCCCATCACTGCCTCTTAGAATCCCTAACCTTCCTTCAAGGGTCATCTGATCAGGTACAACCTCCTACTTTCAGCCTTTCTTAATCCTCGCTGCTGGGACCCCACCTCCCAACCAAATTTATTTTTTGTGTGTAAGTAAATTTTGATATATTTTATGTTGTATATATTTTTTATTCATGTATATGTGCATATAGTATACAGTGTAAGCTCCTTGAGGGAAGGGACTGTTTAATTTTTGTCTGTTGCCCCAATGCCTGTACACACAGGTGCCTAATTCAGAGGAGATGCTGGATAAATGTTTGTTGATTGATTGGTTTGGACTCAAAATTCAGGCAGTTCTGCATCCATCTCTTGGACTCTGGTCTAGCCTTTATGTCTCCATCATTTCCAAACCAATAGCAGAGAATCTCTATCAAATGCTGTGCTAAAATCAAAGTAATCTCTATCTTTAGGATTCCCCTGATCTACCAGTTTATTAAGCTTATCAAAAAAAGAAAGTCGGTCATGAAGTTAGTCTATCCTTGATGGAGGCATGTGTGGCTCTCAGTGATCATTTCCTTGATTAGGGGTTCGCTAATTAGTGTCATCAAATGAAAATTGGCCTAATTATTATTTGTATATACCTTAATTCTTCTGCCGCTATGCAGGAGATGGAAGTATACCTTGTTTCCCTATGCTTTCCCTCCCCCCCCACCTCCTCTCCATCTCCACTTTTACATTCTAACCTGTGTCATAAGGCCCAAGTCAAATGCTACCTCCTTCATTTATCTATTTCTGCTTCCTATCTCTCCCCCCAAAAATGGAATTGGAAGCACTTTGTACATGCCATAAACACTTATCATGAGCTCTGTTTTGGATCATAGCTGTATATAATGTATCTACCCCAGACAGATTGTAAGCCCCATGAGGGTAGGAACCATGTTCTACTTGTCCTTCGGAGCCTGGCATAAAGCTTTGCACATAGTAGGTATTTAATAAATGGTTGTTGAATTGAATTCAGATACATGCCATGTCACCCTTCCAATGGAGACAGAGATACATGTGAGAGAATACACATTCATGTACATAATGCATATCTCACACACACACACACACACACACACACACATACACACACATCTTTCCTCAGCCTGTGGTCAGTCTCTTTCCAGTTTTCCTTTGTTTAATTATTCTACATTTCCACCCTACTTTCTTTCTCCCAATGAAGATAGAACAGACTTTAACCTTAAGCTATGAACCCTGGAATGAGTCTTGTCTTGTAGGATTCTAGGGTTTCCCTAGCAAGACTCTTCATGTGAAGGAGACTTCTTTCTCCTTTTTACAAAAGGGAAACTGAGGAATGACATGACAAATGGTATAAACAAGACGTTATTGTACCCTTCTCCAGTTCAACATAGAGTTCACTGTAGCCACCACATATACTCATTTCTCTGTGGACTCCCCTTCCTTGCCCAGCCACCTCCCAGTAATGTCCTCTGCCTCTCCCTTTCTAGCCTTGTTCTACTCCCCCATTCAGATGTTTGTGTATAAGAAAAAGCAGTTGTCTTAAAATAATAATCCACATGCTTGTGTGTGTGTGTGTGTGTGTGTGTGTGTGTGTGTGTGTGTGTGTGTGTGTGTGTGCACGCACATGTTTCTCCTGGAAGTAGAGTTACAGGGAGGGACACAGAGGAAAGGAGACCACGGGCTATGCATAGCCATTGTGTTTTATTGGATTCTCTGGATTCCTTATTTTACAAAATATACATAAGAGTTGAAAATGCAAAGCAGTCATAACCAAGTCCTAGTTGGGGGAGGAAGGAGGTTATTATCCCCCCATCCCCTCAGATCACCGCTGGCTGAGAGAGCAGAGCTACTCAGGACAAGTTGAGACATTGTAGGAATGGAGTGGAGGCCCAGGGTGAAGAGACAGTGCTGGGATTGGGCTTGAAGAGCCCTTCCCATCTCTGTATCAGAAGAGAGAATGCCTGAGGAGTTGTGGGATGGGGAAAAACCCTTTCTGGGCAGATGGGATGGAACAATAAGAGTTCTCTGCTGAGAACATCAGGGCTTCCTTGGCTCCTCAAGGGGAAAGGAGAGGTGCAGAGCTGGGGTGAGGAAGCAGCTGAGCTGTGCTGGAGAGTGGTAGACAGGCAGTAGTAATGAGGGCTCCATCTGACAATGCTCCATACCTATCCCCCCATGCACACAGCATTTGGGCATCTCTGATCATCTGATAGTGTTCATTCTGGGATCTCAGATTCTGGTTTGGTTTTTTTTGGTTAGGCAGTGGGGTTAAGTGACTAGCCCAGGGTCACACAGCTAGTAAGTGTTATGTGCCTGAGGCCATATTTGAACTCAGATCCTCCTGAATCCAGGGCCGGTGCTCTATCCACTGTGCCACCTAGCTGCCCCTTGGGATCTCAGATTCTGAAGGGCCTTGACTCTTTTCCCCAGTCTCTGGCAGTTCTTCCCTAGGACTTAGGGAATGGTCTCACTAGTTGGTCTTGCTAAAATGTGTAAAGCTGACAGGACAGGATACATAAGAGGTGACAGGACCTCAGTGAACTCCTGCGTCGTGGTCATTTTTCCATCAATAGTACTCTTACCCCTACATTCACCACCATCATATATAGGGAAACATGGGGAAGACGAAATGCTTGGAGGGTCCCAGGAGAGAATCAGGGCAGGCAACACAGGTATCTGGAATTCCAGGTTCCTGTCCTAGGGGGCTTATCTTTTCATGCAGATATAGTATAAGACCTTGATTTCTCACCTCTTCTTTTCAGAGAGGCAGGGATCAGAGCTTCTATACAAGCCAAAGTGTTCTCAATCAGACTCCCCAGACTCAGGAGCTGGAGACTGGGAGGCTTGTCCGGACTCATTTTTAACTTTAACACTACAGAGGACCCTGATGAACTAGTTTAGATGCTGGCCTATGGTCTAAGACTACTCCTTGCTACTAGGATCTCTTAGAGGTTCCTCTGAAAGTGCCCAGTGGGGAGGTCCCTGGGAGAATGGTTGGTTTGGGGAAGCACCATAGCAGGGGCGTTCTCAGATTCTCTTGTGTGGGTAGAATGGGAATGAGGGATGCTGCTTTGTTCCTACTTCAAATCCTAAGGCAGGGGAATGGGCTTTCATCACATGGAGCAGACAGGAGGCCTGGGTAACTATGTGGGAGTCTTGGACACTTCCAAACACTACTTCAGGATTCTGTCCTGTTTCCCAGTCCCCACCCACCCCCCACCCCCTTTTACCTCAGAACCCAGATACCCCCAGAGGGGTCACAGTCTCCTAGCAACCCCTGTGGGTTGCCTGGGCCCCTGCAGACACAGGATGGGGGCTGGAGATAGACCTGGGAAAAGAAGAGCGAGGTCCATCTGGGCAGGGAGGCCCAGGAGCTTCCCCTAGCACATGACAACCCCTCTCTGTATCAAGTTAGATGACGTTGTCAAAGAGCTGCATGGAACGCATGATGTTCTCATCCTAGGGGGGAGAGAGGAAGACAGAAATATATGGAGAGAGTGAGAAGACAAAGAAGGAGATCACCATGGACACATGATGGGACAAAGACATAGAAAGAGAGCGAGATTGGAGAAATGGAGCCAGCAATCAGATCCAGACAGGGAGAGACAGAAACTGGTGGGGGGATGGGAGGGTGGAGAAGCTTGCGTCCTGGCCCCACATTCTCTTCCCTCTTTTGCCCCTATCTAGGAAAAGGAGTTTGACCAACCCTGTACTTCCCCTTCTGGATCTCCTCTAGAGATGGTGGAGTCATACCATCTGAGGGAGTTAGAAGAGGGGGATCTTAGGGCTGTACCTTCTGGCAGGACTCAATGAACTCTTCAATGGTCACCACACCATCCTTGTTTCTGTCCATCTTCTGTAAGGATATGTAAGCAGGATCAGTGCCAAGGTAGAGGCATGAGGATGGGGGTAGGGAATGACATGGGTTCCAAATGCCAGACCTACGTCATGTCAACACCCTCTCCATTCTAGACTTGGTCCTCCCTTATCCCTCCACATCTGGTCTCTTTTACACTGACCCATGATACCTCAACATTCAACTCAATACTGTCAACCCCCTCCCATGCCTGTCACCTAACCCTTTCACCTGGAAGAAGCTCTCCACATGTTCCCTTGGTGCCTCCTCCCGAAGGGCAGGATATGTATACTTGCCCATCATGTCATAGATGGACTTCATGATGTCCAGCATTTCCTGGGGGAATGAGAAATTGAAGGCTCATCCTGAAGTCTTTCCTCCCAACCCCTTTGATAATGCAGTGGGGCAGTAGCCCTCTGCCCCTTTCCCCATTAATAGTTCCCCCTTCTGTCCCCCTCAGCACTTTGATGCTTCCACATTTCTCTGGTGTCTTTCATATTAATCCCTAACTTCCTAGTGATTTCCCTCCTGGGCCTCTTACCTCCTTGGTGATGAAGCCATCCTTGTTGAGGTCATATAGGTTGAAGGCCCAATTGAGCCGATCATCTATGGTTCCTCGGAGAATTACCGACAGACCAGCCACAAAATCCTGGGGTGGAAGTAGGCAGAAAATGTTCAGGAGACCCCTTCTCTCCTGCGCCCTGATTCTGCCCAAAGCTCTCTGAAGTTGGAGCACCAAGAATACCCCAGCCCACCCCCCCAGCACCATACACACACCTTACCTCGAAGCTGACAGAACCATCATGATTGGTGTCAAAGGCATTGAAGAGGAAGGTGGCATAAGTGCTGGAATCTGGGGGTGGTAATTAGGAATTGTAAGCACACTCTCCACAGTGGTGGACCTCATTCTCTCTAAATTCTTCTGGAACCTGCTCCTCCAGAACTCCCTCAGACAATAGCTTCCTCCAAATTCTACTCCTTCCATCACCCCCCTGAAAGTTCTCCCTGAAGCTCTTCAGTCACTTCAGGGCTCCTCCAAGAAACCACTAGATCTCTCCAGCCTTCCTAACTCTCTCTAGATACCCACCCCAGAGTCCACAGTGTCGCCTGCCCTGAAGGGAGGACGAGGGAGATGGGAAAATGGATAGAAACCCACCTAACCACCCCTACCTACACTGAGAGGCACCTCCTAATCTAAGGGCTGCAGGCAGGGGGAAGGGAGGTCCCTTGGGATTCAGGGCCAGCGTTCTCACCTCCCTGAGGAAAGAACTGGGAGTAAATCTGCTTGAAATTCTCTTCGTTAACAATGCCGCTGGGACATTCCTGAGAAAGAGAGCACAAAGTTGAGGACAGCCTGGGAGAGGGAGTGCAGGGCTCCATTTCCAGTCCTTCAGCCTCACAAAGGCCAAGGACTGCCGAAGGTCCCTCCCACTGGAGAGAAGGACCAGGATTTCCTGCCCAGCTGCCCCCTCTCAGTACCATCTGGCCTCTTTCATCCTCTAACCACTCAAATTCTCGAGGCTTAGGCCCCGCTAGCTCTCGCTGTAGTTTCAGATTAAGCCCAACCCGTCCACCCCATCTAAGTAAGCATTGGATTTCTGGAAGCCCCGCCTTCAGCCCATCAGACCCCGCCCCTAGCCACGCCCACACTCACGTTCTTGAAGCCCCTGTATAGGACCTGCAACTCCTTTCGGGTGAACTTGGTCTGTTCCTGCAGCTGTTCCAGCCCCTCGGGCCGGTGACACACAGTGGACAATTCAAACTCATCCTCTACGCTATCTGCAGAGGTTGGGGGGACAGCGGCGCCTCAGGTCCGGGGCTCTGAGGCATCCTCCCAATACCCTTCGAAGCCCTCCTCCCCAACTCTTCCCTCCTCCTTACCACAACGAATCTTCCCTTCTCTCACTGGGAAGTGCCCAAGTCCCAGGGATAGAACTTTCTCCACATTCCCCAAAACACCCTCCCTCATAGGAAACAAAGGCATAGAAGAAGAGGCTACAGCCCCCCACCCCAGTTCACTCGCTGCCATCTCCTCCTCATCCCTTACCTCATCTCTGTCCCCATCCCTCTTTCCCTTTTCTTTTTCCTCTCTCTCTCTTCCTGCCTACCCCAGCCCTCTTTCTCACCTCCAGCATCTCCCCTGACATCATTCCTAGCTCCCCTCATCCTCATTGTATCTATTCACCCCGCCCGTATGCATCTCAAGTTCATAATGTGCAGAAATAATTATTGTCCTCATCCCCCACCTCCAAGCTTCTCAGTACTTTTCCCAAGTTCCCAACCCCAGAGTAATCCTAGATTCTTCACTCTCCCTCTCCTTTTATATCCAATCTGTTGCCAAGTTGTGCCCTGTAGGGATTCCCCATTCTCCATTCCCATCTCCCCCATCCTCAACTCTACATCCTAGATCCATTTCCACCAGTTAGCCTCTCCACTCTCACTGAACCAATAACTTTTAAAAATCAGAGTTCAGTATCCCTTCCAGGCCCTCCCCAAGTCATTCTAACTTCAGATCCAAGGTTCCATTCCCTTGTATGTGGGCCTGGACCCTCTCCCTCTATGACCCTTACTCTAAGTCCCTCCTTTCTCAGCCTTCCCTCCAACCCCCTCCCCAGCTCCACCCCCAGCTAGGATAGTGAGTCAGCTAGGCCCTGAGAGATCTCCGGATAAGGAAAAAATACATCAAACAACTCACCTAACACATATGATAGAAAATACACATTACACGAAAGACAGGATACCTGTTGCTGACAGCACAGCACACAGACACCACAAACAAGCCCCACAGACACTCCATCTGACATAACTACCAAATAGAGAAACACATCATAGGATGCACACCTTTGCATGAGAGACAGGCCAAACACATTGAGCTGTTTTTGTGCCTAGTACAGTGCGTGGTTCATCATTCTATAAAAGCTTGTTAATTAATACACCAGGAGTCATAGAAACACAGGGACACTCAGTTAACCGGCACAGAGCCTAGCTTAATAGATGCTTGCTGGTTATTTGATTTCCACTCTTTTCTTAGTCTTCATCCTCTTGCCGCATTTGACACTATTGATCAGTCCTCCCTTCTGATTGCTTTCTTCTCTCTCAGCCTCAAAGACAAGGTATCTTCCCATTGTCCCTCCTTTCTCTGGAACTATTCCTCATTTGTCTCCGTCATTGGCTCTTTTTCCTGACCCTTGTTCCCTGAAGGTTTGTTATAGGCTCTGTTCCTTTTTTCACTCTACATTCTCCACTGGCAACCTTATTCACTTCTATAACTTTGACTACCCCCTCTATGCAGGTGATCCCCAAATCTATATCTCTAGTCCTGACCCCTTTTGGAGCCACAGATCTTTAAAGGTGAATTCAAATGTCATCTTGTCCAAGAAGCTTTCTTCAATCCCCAGTAATTAAAGCCCTTCCCCTACCTTTATCCATTACCTTACATAGCACCTCTCCAATGTACTTGTCACATACTATTTTGTACAGTAGGCATTAGTGTATGTGCTATCTCTTTCTATTAGACTATAGCACCTTGATAGTAGAGACTAAGCTTTGTTTCAACACCTAATTCAATACTTTATGCACAATAGCTGCTCAATTAATATTTGTTGGATTTGAGTTGAATCTGGATTAAATGCTGTAGCATGGGAGGGTCAGGAAGGAAAAAGAATTGATTCTAGCTGGAGAGGTTAAAGATACTATCCTGCAGTGGATGACATCTGAGCTGGGCCTTCAAGAAGGAGAATGATTTCAATAAATGGATGAGAAAGAGGCCACAAGTCTATTTCAGGGATGGAGAGGCCTCTGCATGTGCGCAAAAGTGGGAGAAGGCAGTCCTAGGTGGGAAGATGGAGTGGTGCAATGTGAGTGGCCCATAGAGTAAATGAAAGGGAGTAGTGTTGTGCTCAGCACTCCATAGGGCGGGATACTCCAGTCCAACCCCTTCTATGCTGTGAAAAACAGGTGAAAAGGGTTAAGTTGGTGCCAAATTGTGTTATAGCTCCCCATTAGGTTACAAGCTGAAGGAGGACAGGGATTGTGTATTGTCTAATGGTCCCCAGTGTTGAGCTCCGTGCTCTGAAGGCAGCAGATGCTTAATATTTGTTGAATTGCAACCAGACACATATATACATGAGGACATATGGAGAGGAATAGATACACACAGAGAGAACATATACACATGTGACTGTGGTTGGCATTGAGGGATACGGAAATAAATGGAACACGGTCCCTTCCCTTAAGGAGCCAGTCAGACACTGATACAATATCCCCAGAAGGACATATACACAAGGATTCAGCTATAAAGGAACACACACATACACACACACACACATACACACACACACACACGGATACTCACACAAATAACGGGGAATCTAGACTCAGAGAAAGGGACATAGAGTTTCCCAGGCATACAAACCAAGGCACACAGCCGAAGGGTGGATCACAAGGTTGCATTCAATACCACGGACATAGGCCTGATACATGCAGCTCTAGACACTGACCCTACACTTTGTTTCATTTCTCTTTTTGCCCATCCTCAGCCCCACTGACTGCTCCCCAATACTGGGGTCTGAGTAAATGGAAATGGGATGGGTTCAGTCAACCAAGACAATGAGAAGGGCAGGGCAGGGATTGCCCACTTCTCCCCCAGGCCCCCATCATTGATCTCCCCCTCACACTCCAGCTGCCCACCCCACCCCCACTCCCCAGGACAGAAGGAGAGGAGGGGGGCACTTGCTTTCGCTGACTGAGGGCAGGGCCTGGGGGCCACAGCACGGCAGCAGTTTGAGGAATCGCTGCTTCAGCGCTTTTTTAGTGGGCCTGGGTGGGTTCCCTGGGAAGAAAGAAGACCCCAAGGAAAGAAGGTTAACTCCCCCAGAACACACCAAGGTGGCCCAGTCCCCCTCCCTGCCTCGTACAAAGACTCAGAGACTCACAAGCAAGGGGAGGGACTGAGGAAGACACTGGGGTAGAAGGGAGGGGTCTAGGAGGGCTCAGGGATAAAGAGGAACTGTGGTGAAGATGAGGAGGCTGCAGGATACTTGAGGGACATTCCAGGAAGAAGGGCTGGACTCAGATGATTTCACTATAGTCTAACATTAAATGAATGTCATGCAAACTGTGTGCAAATATCATGCAAACCAGCATATGTTATTTGAAGTCAACAGCTCAGGCATTTTTAAAAAATAAAGGGGCACCAGCTCCAAAGACAAAACTTCACAGAGTTGGAAAGGACCTTGGAGACCGTCTAATTCAACCTCCATATTTTGGAAGAGTGAGGGTGAGGAGGAAGGGGAAAGGGGCATATGATAATGGATGATGCATTAGGGTGGGGAAGAATTTGGATAGACTTTGCCCCCAAAGTTCCCTGGACTCCAAGAGGAAGGAGGTGGAAATACCCCTTCTAAATTCTTTCTCCCATTTAATCACTTCCCCACCACTCACAGAAAGGATGGGATCACACTAGGCACAGGGACAACTCTTCTCCAGCAGGAATACACAGCTAAGCTGTTTGCTATGAACACATAGTGCACACAGACACACAAACACCGAAAGACATGCATTCATTCAACAACATTTATTAAGTGTGCTACTATGAGCAAAGCACTATTCTAGGCACAGGGAGATACAAAGATTGCTAAAAGCTGGTCTCTGCTCTCAAGGAGCCAGGTATCCATTGGTACAGTGACAGACACATGATGTTACATACACACAAACACATAATCACACACAAACAGCGACATAGTGAAACATGGCAACAGATAATGACAAAGACAATTACAATGATACAAGATGCCACACAGACATATAGTGAAAGATGCACAGTGATATACATGGACACCCAGACACCCAGAATGACGCACTCCTGTGGCACCAATCATCTGAGCCCCGGTTTGATCTTCATCATACACTGCTTTACAAAAGCTGTTGTCTCTTTCCTTTATGGGCACTGGTTCCCTAACCAGACCAGGAATCCCTCCACAGTAGACTTTAGTTTCTCCTTCTTCTCTTTCTCCTTGTGGTTGCACAAGGACTAGGTGGGGGAGGGGTATAGAGGGAGGAACAGGAGGAAGGAAGAGATACTCAGTGAATGTTTCTTGATCATTTAGCTGCACAGGGATGCACGACTTTGTTGCCTGAAATATGTGGTGATACACCTATGGTCACACAGAGTCCCATAGACCAAGTCACAGATACAGTCGAACATGCCCAAATAGCAGTACCCACCCACATAAGTACAAACCTCATCTATACCATATCCCAAACACACATGTGTGCAGGTACACAGTTATATATATAGACACTTAAGTATCAGGTCACAGTCACACAAAAAACCCCAGAAATACAAACCATAAACATAGTCATACAATCACCCATCAAATTACAAAATAGTCACCTACTCCCACAGTCTCCTTATTCTTCAGGGATCAGACCAAGGTTTGATATCATCTCTGTTTCCCCTGTCCCTGTCACTGTCCCCTTGCCGACCCCCACCCCACCCCCAAGGGCAGAGGATCGATTGACTTGTCTGGCCTTCTGCCCAGGGCTCCATTAGCTGGGGCTCTGGTTTCCCCAATGCCAGATTGAGCCTGTGGTCTCCCTGCTGCCTTCCGGGAGTGGGGTGGGGGAGGGGGGAGTAAGGAAGCAAGCCCTAAGCTCTCTGTCTCCTTATCCTTTCACATTAACTTATGGCCTCAGTTTTCCTTTCTGTTCTCTCTGGGAGTGGGTGTTTAGGTAAGACAAAGCAGAAGGATCTTGGAAGAGTGAAGGACCATCTCTAGCCTTTAAGACACTTGGGTCCTTAATCCCACCCACAGATTTTCCTATCTTGGAGTTAAACATCTCCTCAGCCAGCCCTGCCCACTTCATTTGAGTAATTTCTCTCCCCTGCTCTTCCTTTTCTTTGTCTTTATCTTCATCACTGCTTTGGGCTCTCAGAGAGGCACAGAATTTGGTAAGGGGAGTTACTCAGAAGCCAACCCTTTTTATTCACTGTCTCTTGATTCTTTATTCATTGCCTTTATTCACTTGCCAGATAGTAAGGCCCTTGATTCCAACCTAAATAGTTGGAGTTTATATACACTTCTAGGGGTGAAGATTGGCCAATTTCCCTGTTTCAGTGTTTTGCCCCAGTCCCCTCCACTTGAGTCTGTAAATTCTCCTTTGTGTCTAGGTTTTATCCTTCCTGCTTTCATCCCATTTGCAGGAAGAGGGCAGGTAGGATAGGGCCGAACCCAACGGTGGAATAGGGGCAAGGATTTTCATGAAAAGGGAGGGGGGAGTTATGGCTCTTACCATAACTGAGTCTCCTAAATCTCAATCACTTCTCCCTTCCTCCCCAGAGCCACAGACGCCTTTGGGGAATTGATTTCCCATCCATCTTATGCCTTAGCCTTGCAGGTCACTACCTTTCAGGGGGATGAGGTATCCTAGGGCTGGGAATGATGGAGGCTGGGCAGCTCCACCATGAATTGCCCCCATGGAGATCAGGAGAGATCACAGGTTATCTAGAGCTGGAAGGGACCAAAGAAGTCGTCTAATCCAACTCCCTCCTTTCGTTTTACAAATAAGGAAACTGAGGCACTGAGAGATTAAGTGACTTGCCCAAGAATAAGGTCACACAGTTAGTAAAAGTCAGAGGGGGGGATGTGAACCCAGGTCCTCCAAGGTGATATTTCCCCTCTCCTCCTCACATGAACCAGAGCTCAGAGCTTTTGCTTCCCTCCCTCTACTCATGTACTCAAATACCCCAAAGTCCATGGACATGCAATTTACACAATTCACCATCAAAGCCATGGAATATATGACTTGTGAAGTACACATACAATTACAACACATAGTACACTCACAGTTACACACATAGTCACATAAATCATACATACTAGACAAGCACAATCATACTCAGTTATATACAGGAGTAACACATTCTCTCCGATTCAGTGGTCTCTTACACATCAACTCAAGCTCCCCCACTAAGGTTGGAATTGATTTCATCCTCCAGGAATCCCCTGACCATATTCCTTTTATCTTGTAGCCTCAGCCCTGTTCCCCCCCAAACCTTCAGGGTATCCCCCATACTCTTCCTCACATACCCCTAAGCAGACCTTCCCCATTAACTCCACACCACCCTCACTCTCCAGCTCATTCCTTGCCCCAAATTAGAGGGAAGGAGGGAGGTCTGTGGTTCATTGGTGGTGTTAACTAGTGTAGGGCACAGCCACCCAACCCCCACCTCCCCATCCCCCAACCCATCTCACCCTCCTGGCTCCCATTTGGACTCCTGGGTTACCTTCCAAGGAGACAGGCTCAAAAAGGCCAAACTGCTCCAGGACCTTGACAAAAAGGGCCAGGACCACAAGCACAGCCACCATCTCCAGCCCCTCTAGATTCATGGTGGGGGAAGTGGGGGCATGGCCCCGTTCCCTGAACCCCCCAGCTGATACCCCCTGCTTTGCCTGCCCTTGTCTACCCCTTTCTCCTCACTCTCTCTCTCTCTCCCTCTCCCTGTGCCTCACCCTCCCACTGGCTTCTCTCCCCTCCCTCCCCTCCTTCCTCCCTCCGCCTTCCCCATCCCCCGCCCCCCACCCCACCCCCCTTTCCCAGCCTCCCAGCCTCAGCCTGGGCCTCTTCCTCTGCCGGGGGGAAGGTACTGTGGTATGGAGTGCTTTGGCCCAATCCAGTCAGCCAAGGGGAAGGTCAGTAAGTCAGCCCTGATCCCAGGCACTGTCCCCCTTTTTTTAGTGGGTGGCAATGAGGTGGTAGGGAAGGGTCTTAGAGAAAGACAGGGCGGTGGTGGTGGGGAGACAGATAAAGGGATGAGGGAGTCAGATAGGGGATTGGGGGCAAATGAGCAATAGACATAGAAAGGAAGATACAGGGGTACAGAGGAATAGGAAACAGAAGATGGGGAATGGGGGGTGTGGGACAAACTGGATTAGAGATAGAAGAATGGGGGAGACAGGCAGATGGGAATGAGAGCACTTGGAGGACAGACAGAGAGGGAGACAGACTAAGATAGATGGGGAGACAGGGAAATGGGGAGAAAAATGAGGGGAACAGAGATAGAGCAGGAGACTGATAGGTAGGGTAGGGGCAATGGGAGGAGGGATAATAAGGACTAAGTGGGAGTGGCTACTCTTTGCTGTCCTTTGATGGAGGGCAAAGCAGGGACAGAGAAGAGAGAACTGGGCGTAAGAGATGGATTACATTCTGCTGTATGTAACAGTACTCGTATCTGAATATGTACCAGTGACTGCTGATATGTATGTGTGTGTATAATACCTGCTATATATGTATCCTAGATAACTGTATAGATATAAATATAAAATCTGCATATGTCAGTATGGACAGGTTTTTGTCTATGATCATCTTTGAGAATATGTGGAAAGAGGATATGTATGTTTGTGTAGGTGGGGAAAAGGGGGAGATCCTGGATAGAGGTAGTAATGAAGGGCTAAGTCAAGGCCTTTGGATTGGCTAATTATCCTGATTATATCTCTTTCCTCTTAGGCCTCCGTTTCCCCCGGGGTAGAAAAAGAAAGGCATTATTCCCCGCCTAGCTGTCTTTTTGGCAACAGCAATCTATGCTGCGGATAGCATGATAGCAGACTAGTAAGATTATTGGGGGCTCCTCTCCCTAGGCCTTCTCTGTGCCCTAAACCTGGGGAGAGACATGAGTGAGCAGAGTCTGGTAGGGGTGTAGCTGAGTCTAGCAGTGACCACAATGCTTGGATCCCCGGGGCTTCTTTGGTCCCAGCTAATGAGATAAAGAAACCTGAGCCCATCAGGATCATACTATGATGGCTTCCTCTGCCACTTCAAGACATAGTTTTT